GTTGTTTGACATTATGTATTTGAGCTGTAGTCTAAATAAAGTGCCTATATCTGCCCTTCAGTGAATATTCTTTATTTGCTCAAGTTGATTGAAGCTATGTGACTTCGAAAATCACATTAAACTAAATCAGAACACAACATGTACTTGTCGTAGTTTAGATCCTGTAAGATGCAGTTTATTTCTGATAATTTCAGAATTATCGAATCTACTTCTCATGTTCTGCCGAAAAGTTATGGAGTTCCGTATCTTCATTTTTAAAAATACTGTTCTAACATGTTTATTCATAACACGTAACGGAAGACTTCCAATTCGCGTTGCTTTCACGCTTGTACATGAAGATAATGGTTGGTTTTATATCCTACATTTTTTAGTTGCTATGCGACTAAAGATGTCACCAGTATTCATGGCTTGACGGCACCTTTACACTGTAATGAAATTAGGTGTTAGAAATGAAGGGATTCGAAGATATTTCTGATAGACTATCCATATGTCGGGAAGCGTTTGGTCTGAGCTGGTTGCATGGAGTGCGTAGCTCCATTAGTGGTCTGGCGCGGATGCGTGACCGGGCCTCTTCAGGCAGGTGTGTTCAGTAAATCTAACGAGGTCAATATCAATGTCGAGGACATACGAAATTATTTATTTTGGAGATTTGGTTACCGTTATATGAGAATTAGGCGGAATTTATTTTCGTCGGTCCAGCGAATAAATTTGGCATTCTAATTGAATAACTTGGCAATAATAGATTTCTATCAGATAACTGGATGTTGTTTCTTGATTTCAGTCACCTTGATATAGTTTTTATCTTGTTTTATTATAGGCGTTAAAGTTTCAAATTCACTTTAAAGAGCACGCTGTTGTTTAACATCGCATGCTAGTTCCTGTATGATTAAGATGCGACTAATTGAGTGCGCTTAAAGAGCTGTTGAGAACAATATGTTGAAGATGTCACGGAAATTCAGAGTTCATGAAATATTTCCACCTAAAAAATACCGACCCAGTTAAACCAGAAATCGGGGATGATTGCATTTACAGATACATTTGGAAAGTGCCAATGTGTTGAGGAATGTTTTATTTAATCTAGCTAGTTGTCGCAAGAGATATGTAGCACGGCAAACCCACTCATGATGTGGTGCCTATTTATGTCCAAGAGCCTTCAGTTAGTGTATGTTGAGTATAGTTAGCAAGGTCAGAATCAGTGTCGCATATCTACAGAATTATCACCTCGCCTTCGTGAGGTAGTACTGATCCCACGGCGTTTGAACTCAAAGAAGCTTGCTGCTGGCATATTCTTCTGAAAACTTGCTGTGTCCAAGCGCATTTGGTTTGATAACCCTATTATTGGAAGTTATTTGGTATGACATAGTAGTAGAAATAAGTACACTGAAAATCACGGTCCATCGTACATTCTGTCGATCTTTCATATTTAGGAGTGTAAGTGAATGCACGTATGCACTAGTACTTGATTAAGGAAGTAAAAGATGTCTAAAGAAAATACACGGTATATATGCGTATAAATACTGCGAAAATGTGAGAAAGTTTAGGTACTGAAAATTCCTTTGGATTTATATACAAGTAAATAATATGAACATATATGTGTACAAGGGAGTGAAACTTTTAACCATTTATGAAATCTTATCTTCATTTCGTTAGTTTGTGGGTTGTAGGCGGTCGTTCGGAATTATATGATTTTTAGGATCGTGACAAGGCAACGAAAACGTTTTGAACCGATCTAGCCTCTATGATTCATAGCAACAGTTATAGGGCAGCCAAACTTTAACACTTATCTCTCAGCGAAGTCACAGGCCTCTGTTACTGCAGTAATAACAACAACAATAATTTATTCTCCAATAACGGTTTTTACATGAGGCATGCCAGTTTACAGGCAAGATCAATGTCCTTGATATGTACTGCTTCTAGCGATCTTGGTAAGCGGTCCACACATGCCAAGAAGTAAGAATTTTAATCCGAATTCAGTGGTAGTCCTGTCAGACCAAGGTGAACATGTTCAAAACGAGCCTTAGGATTCGAGGACGAGCCTAAGAGACATACTTTGTGTTTACGTACCTTATATTCCAGACATACTAGAATGTACACATTTTCTCAGATCTTTCTTTACAACAGGCCAACCAAATCTTCATGCTATGAGTTTGATGACTGCTAAAACACCCGGATGAGATGCTTTGTTCAACGTATCAAAGATTTTGCGTTGATGCTTTTAAGGCGCAATTCGACGATTCCTACACGTAGATATTCCACAGTGATGATTCTTTGCCTGCTAACATCTATTCCATTCATTGTTTCAGGATCGTCGAAGGTAACTAGTGCTGAAGACCAGCGTCTTTTTAAGCTGGGTGATATTAAAAAGGTCTATTCTTTGGTAATTGTTCAGAGAAATCATACCAGACAGGGTTGTTGTGACTTTATGTCCGGCTTTCTGTCACGTCAGTTATTCATTAATCAAAATGCGACTTACACAATCTTAGCACTGTGTCGAACCAATGACGTTCGACCGTTATGGGCATCCTAGCGTCCTTATCGGTCGTATGTCCACCAAGTCTGTCCACTTGAGTCCAGAACACCGATATCAGCTTCCACTATGAGAATCGAATCGAATCATTTATTTCAGACATACTGGGTTTATATATCAACCAAACAGACCGCAACGCTCCATAAAATAGGAAATAACATTTGTACACAATAAAGCCAAAAAGTGACCGTGAACGTATGAGGCAGTAGTCAGTAAACTGAACATAGCTTAAGAACAGTAAATCGTACAATAATAAATTATAAATCAAAGTTAAGCTTATAATAATAGGGATTTAAATATACATAATCTAATTATTGAATAGCTATACTATAAGAATATATAGATAATATTGGTCAATTAATATGTCTCAGAAGTTACTCGTGATTTAATCTTCGCTCGGCTATAACAAGGGGTTTGCAACTATATTGTTTACTCCAGAAACACATATTTGCATATTTGAGGTAAACCGATAGGTTAAGTCCAGTTGCCGAAACTGCGGAGGATTAGTTGTTTAAAGATGTGCTGAGAAAAATATGAGAAGTCGATGAACAGAATGAGGTCTCGTTATTTTACATGGTGCTGAAAGTGTCGTGCAGATCATTACGCAACTGGGAGTTCGTTTCCGAGGGTGATATTCCTCGATTCAGCGTTTTGCAACCGTCCCATGAAGAATGACAAAGGTTGATGTGTGTTGTGTACTCATTGCTTTACAATTATTCTTACGATTATCAAGTCGGATACGTCTACGGCAATACCAGTGGGTGCTTTGATATCCTAGTATGTGAGTACGATTACTTTTGTGACAATTCCTCTAAATGCGGAAAATGGTTTTCACGCGTTAACCAATAGTTTTTGCGATTACGTGAAGTTGGCCTGTTGTGCCTCATAGGGGACGCTCAACTAAATCCGAATCGGATTAGAAAACTTATCCTTTAAACGTTCTTTATTCATTGACTATGGTTGCTTCTGGGAAATACAGAATTGTCGTCTTTTGCTTCACTAACGGTGAATGCCTTGAGTGTTAACAACGTGCACGAGAAGGTCCAGGAAGTTAGTTTTGATCCAACGTTTCTAAGTACTTACAGTAGTGCTACGTTACTGGACCATTCGGAAACAAGGCCCAGATGCATGAGATTCTCAAGCACTGTCAAAGATTCATAAATATATGTGTGCATGAGGTTGAGACTTCTGAGTGTCACAGATGAATCTCTCAAAAGTTTGTGCAGCATTTCTTGAACCGTAATTTATGCATAAAAATTTGTGGAGTCCGAAGGTAGTCATGTTAGAGGTTCTAAAAATGTCATCTGCATTCATAGGGATTTGGTTATATGCTTCAATGTGATTGATTTTCGGAAAAATAGTTTTGTCTTTAAGGTCTTCAGGCATGCAAGCCTTTTCGATTAAAATATTATCAAGACACTCAAAGGAGAAGTTGGTAGTTATTCAGTAGAGAAGATATTTTTAGCTGGTACGCAAATGTATCATAATATGTCACTTTTTAAGCTTTTTAGTCACAGTAGCATTTGAGTTCCATGACAGGGCGGTAATTGTAATGGTGAGAATGATTTTCTGAATACATTCATCTAGAAGTGTGTTCATTAAAAATAACACGGACAAAATTATTGTCGAATGCTAATGGAAACATTTACTTTTCGGAACCATCTACAGCTATATCGTTATTTCTTGATCGTCACATGATTTTATAATAGTAGCGTCATCAGTCAAGTACTGCCAAACGTAGAAGGTAATAAAAAGAGATTTGATTGAGGCAATCTCACTGTGTCTATATTTTTCGCTGGAAGCAAGTAATTAGCCTCACGATCTTAATCGGAAGTAACTGTATTGTGAATTAAATCAAAAAATAGCTTCACTAACGTGAAACTCTTATACTTTTCTAGGTAGCCATTAAAAAACCATGCCCATTTATCTTGAGTTGCGTTCATCACGTTCTCCCACCCCCTGAGTGATTGCGGGTGGACAATTATGAGGAGTCCCTACATCAACGGATAAAGAGTTCCCTGCCAATGGCATTTATAGGATAAATAGTAGTAGTGCATGTATTCGACGAGATAAGAGTCTTGGGAAAAAATGAACATACACCAGTAGCTGTGAATTAATCGGAGACTCCATATCACTAAAGACCAAAGGTATATGTGAACGTATTTAAAATTATAATATAAGCGCATAATTTTTCATGAATTTCCAATTTTACGCAAACGCTGTGGTTGAATTATAGAGTACCCAGTGAAATAGAGTAATCTGGAGCACCTGTTTTTTAAGATGTATCATGTGAAACAGGATTTAATTTTCTGAATGATGTTTACTCCTATGGTTGATATAAATGCCCAAAAACATTATATTTATTTGATTTTATTAAGTTGAAAAAGGCAAGAATTCACTACTTACGAGCTTTTGATTTGATGTGACGAATCCATTCAATGGTGAACTTCTTTGTTTACTTCATTTACCGAGTATATCTACTACCGTCAATTCAAAAGACTTACTGAATGTTGTTAATTACACAAGTTGTTTGCAAACAATCATCGATAACCTTATTGGAATAAAGGTGACTCGTTAGTTTTTCCCTATCTCAAACTTATTTTATTCTGTGTTAACTGCATAAGACTTTATTTTTTTGGAAAATATCTCTTGAGCACAAAATAAATATTTGTTTTAGAGTCTTTATGACTCAATCAAGATACTTTATCACTGTTCTGTATGTTAGATGATAATATTTTATTTTCGTCTTTGTAAATACAGATGGGAATCATATTGTCGTTAGATTTTATGGACTGCAAAACGTAAAACAAAGAATGCTGTTTATATATTTCACTATGTTCACATTTTGCAACATCGTGTCTATGTGCATGAGTAACTTAACGTTTTAGTTGAAAATATGCATATATATGCTACCCTATCATCATACATTGCATTGGGTATGTTGCAAGTGTATAGTACGCACTGAAATACATACAGATAAGCATAAAGCCGTGGTTAGAATATTAGGTGATTTACTCAGGAAATAAATGTGTTGTGCATAAACTGATATTGGTAGAACCAGTTATAACTTTTCATAGTGGTTATTAACACTGAATATACTTCATCATGTGGATAATTGAAGTCATCAAGATATTATTTAGTAACCCATCAAAGTCAAACTCAGCACAAATAACCAAATCTATTTATTTTGAGTTAATGATATTAAGGAAGGTTCAGAAATGGATTGCAAGTAAAGTTAGAACGAGAGCAACTAAGTGGATCTAAGTATAAAACCTAGATGTCAAATAAAATGAGGCTTATTAGAACTCACAATATTTTTATTCAAGTTACTCGAGCCAGTTACGCAAAATAAATAGGACTCATATCCTTTTACTTTAACAAAAATACATCTGGTAAACGATAACACATTAAAGTGTGTATTTGCACAGCACATTCAGACCGTGAATTACAAGGATATTTAAATGCGCTTTCTTTGGTTGATGGCAGTTATTAGAAGTCATTTCTGTTCCTTATTCGTAAATCGACATGGATACTTTAGACTGACGCTAAATTCTGTGACATATCAGGAATAAATATTCATTCCAGATTTTGATATAAATCTATTTGTATTAGTTGGCGTTTGAACTGCATACTTGGAGCTAAAAATGCTATCATGTCTAATACAGTATCATTAAATAAACACATAACAGCTTTAGCCTTTGTATATATATGGGTGAGAAATTTGTAAATGATTGGGTGGAAGGTAGAAGATATATCTGAAACTCATTTCTAAGGTGCGATTTCGTATAAGTATGAGTTTTGCATTTTTTTAAAACATCCTCACTTCTAAGAATATATAAGTGTAACATCGAGATATGGTTTGAAAGAAGTAATAACTCATATCGTTCTTTGTTATCTATGAAACATAACATATAAAAGTTCTAGACTAAAAGTGTAAAAATTAAGTTTTCAAACGCAAACTCGCTTTTGCTACATTTTTTTTCAGCCGAAAAAGATCATTTTATCGTTAGAGGATGCCAACTGGTAGTAATAATTTCTGAGATAAAATATGCATTTTAAAAAGTCACAAACAATTATTCCTTTGTTTGAACTCCTCATGTTTTAAGTGTCAAAATACTCTTTGAATTCATAACGTTAAAGTATACACAAAGAATAAATCAGCATAAGGTTTCTGACCTCAGTACTAAAGTAACAATATATTTTTTTCAATGTCATACACAAACTATTGAGTTACACTCACCAATGAATTTTTAGTATCCATTGGCTGACAGTTATATCATCTCTTTTAGAACTCAGTTTTCGCGTTTGAATCCAGGCTAATTGTACAGCAAAATCACTAATTCATAAATAATTTCAACGTTAAATATGTTTTATCTATGCTTTACATGGATGTTTTTTCCAACCAAGTTTAAAACCATAACATAAAGTCATGATGAAAGATAAATAACAATGATTTTCCCTTTTCATTCAATAAACTATTTTTGCATCAAATATACATTTTTCTATAGTATGAATTAATTTTAGTCATTTGTTGTTTCTTTCCTCGAGGCTTTTAAGTGAAACCTTGCTTTATCACATCATTTGTAATTGTGTAAAAATAAGCTTATCAGGCAAACAAAAATGCTTCAGTTTCTGAATGAGGGCTACAAATATACCTGACTGAAAATATACAACTGAAAAAGGAGCTTTTCTGAAACGACTGTTCATAGGAAAACCACATGTAACTGTAGTCATTTGTGTATAACTTTGTTAACTTTTTGTAACTCTCAGTCCATTTAAAAAGCGTTTATCAAAATGTTCTGAATTCTCACTTGACTTCTGAGTAACTACTGCGGGTAATTCTACACAAATGATCATCACCAGCTCCGTCAGTAAATTTTTCACATTCCTAAATTGCTTATCTTTATTATCATTAGAACAAACGGTGATCTGTGTATCTGCACACGGAAGATCTATGTCAATAAATGGGATTAGGCAGTAAATTTATCAGACCGTATTTTGCCTGTTACGTAGGCGGTTTGGTAAATATGGTGAATTAATAATGTTACTGGTGAAAACTGTGAACTCTCAAAGAACTTGTGAAATTCTGTGGGTGTAATATATAATGAAAATTACTTTCCAAGTAGATCAGAGGTTTCAGAGAGAGTCGCAGAAACTGTAAGTTAGATCAAGGTTTAAACAACTACTGACTTCCTCTATTAATATTAAAATCAAACGTGGACATAAATTTGTAATTTCTGATCCCCCACCCGGACAATTTCTACAAAGCTTAACGTGGAGAATATCTTTGTTAGCATGATTCCAGAAAATTTGTCAAATATGAAGAAACTGTAAAGCCGTCAATTTGAGTACCGTCAAGGATGTGTCAAACGGTGGATGTAGAAAGAATGCATTTCAATCTATAAAGCATTTTGAAAGAAATAATATAAGTGCGTCCGACATCTTGTAAAATAAGATTTTCACCACCTCAGTTCACCCATTTACTTTACAAACTAAATGTGGGTTCTATGAATAGTCAAATGTACATCAGTACGTTTGGCTTAACTGAAATTTTGAATTATTTGTTTTCAATGAACCAAAACAAGTGGAAAAGGCTTTTGAACTTATAAGTAAAGTATAAGCTTTGATTTTACGTGAGTGCTGGTTATTTGATTCTAGGGAACGTGAACTTGAGTTATTTGGATGATTACTGCTATATCGTAAATAATATGGCGATGTGAATTAGTACAATGCTGACCATTTATACTAAACTGTGTTGTGGTTAAAATACTATTTTTTCGGCCGGCCATATGAAATCTAATGCGCGCCCTATACAATTTTAAGGTTAATGGTCATTCATTATTTTAAGTCTCAAAGATTACTTTAAACAAATATCTAACAGTATCGGAATTCATATCACAATATACATCAGGAACTTTCAACATAACTGCTTGACTTATCTTACTAAAGGGTTTATAAATATTTAAACGACTTTAAAACATGCACTACTTGTTCATTACCCTTAGATGAATGTTAAAAAAAGTGGGAATATAGTATGTTAAATTTTGGTAGCAATATGATACTATTATCTATCAATATATAAGCAAACAGTATTTTTTAGGCGAAAGTGTTATTTTTTTGAGTTGAAGTGAAATTGTCATCTAAATATTGTAATTTAGTAAAAAATATGGAAAGACCAGTCCTATGATAGCTAAAGCGGTTGTCTTACAATTAATAAATTTTATAAGTTGGATGCGAAGGGATCTCTTTTCAACGAGTTTATTATAATCACTAAGTCTATTGTTATTGTTATTATTCATATTACGTAATCTAGTATTACAACCTTTTTAATAACTGTGTTCACATTTTCTCACGGAATTTTACAAAAACAAAACTTTCATAAATAAATTTTATGTTCAACTCCCACACTCACCTAGTTTAATTTGTGGAGTTGGGCAATAATAGGAATTTTTATACTTAGACATCAGCATAAAATTAATTATACAATGCAGTACTGGTAGATCAGATACATCAAGTGGAATTAAACTGATATCTTTTCTACATATTTTATATGCGTAACAAAATTATTCAAATGAAAACTAATTAAATTCACAAGTAATTCTATCAAATATTTAAGTCACACATATTTTTTAATTGTATATTTATTTTCCAGGTTGTAATTCATTTTTAGTTTGTAAATGCATGCCTCATTAGCTTCTATCGGCAGGGCTTGTACAATCCAAGAAGATGAAGATCCGCCAGCTACATCTTTGGACAGTTCATTCGACATGCAACCAGTTGATTACATTGAACAAAGTTTAAGATCATGTACGTCTTCAGTGGATGAGTTAGTCACACTCGCATTATCATTATGCCATTCGATTAAAATACTACCAAATTTTAATAAGATTGTTTTACAAGAGCATCATTGTGGAATCAAACAGAGTGATTCGGTAAGATCATTTATTCGTATTTATACTTACTCAATACATTTTATTATTAATTATATAAGGAATAATGCGTATTTCCGTACATCTGATCAATGTTGACTTTTTATCAGAAATTACGCTCGCTTAAGTCAAAAACTCAAAAACTAAGATATTTTACACTGTAAACCTTAAGTTTATCATACATTTTTAATGCCTATGTCAGTTCATGCACAACTACTGAAAATCATTAAGTCAAGGTGTTCAGTTCAGACACTGAATGGTATCAGATGGGAAATCACGAAAAATCATGGAACACAAGAAAACTACTTTTTTCTACTGTGAAGCTTTTTGACAGTGTGTACGCACGACCTTGAGAGTGATCAATCCAAGGACATTTGAATTCCAAAACGACTGAAAACCAACCAGTCAGTCATAATAAACGTGGAGGTTGGGAAGAACAAAGACACCTTCAGATTACTAGGTCGAGATTCAATAGTAAATACTTCAAAATTCTGTTAAATCGCAATAATACGTGACGGTCATTCACCTCTTGGTTTTGCGAAAATAACTGTGACTCAGTTTAATCTATTCACACAGAAAAACATTTGGTTATGGAAACACATTCTGTGTCTAAATGTTTTAACTATAGAAAATGGAAATTTAGGAACAAAAATTGATTTTAAAATCGCTAACAAAGTTTAAAAACTGACAAGCCGAAATATTTCAAGTGAGGAGGAAAATTTCCAACTATAACAATTTCGGTATTTAGGAATCAATATTTTAAACTTGGGTTTGTGAAGATTTTTAACTATTGAATCCGGGTAGTTTTAATCAATCATTTACAAACGTCTTACGTGATTTTTACTTAAGAGTGCAACACTCCATTTTATTATAGACTGCCACAAGTAAAATTATTAATAAACAGGGCTTCACAACTTCAGGAAATAACGTCGTTAAGAGGAAACCTTTCTTCAGTGAAACGTCCTTATCTTGTTTCGAGATTGTTTTGTTTCTTCACGCATAACTAGCATATAGCTTAGATAAAAAACTTCAAATTTCTTAATTTAACAAGAGATACATTATTTTTCAAAAATTTCAAATTATGCTTGAAAGAAATGAATAAACGTGTTGTACGGCCTAAATATATGTGAAGTTCTGACTAATGAAACTTCCTGTAATCTAACACACCTAACATATTTGTATAAACATAGTCGTCGGTGATTTTTGGCCCTGTCAATTGTGAATACATGAGAATTCATTTACGTAGAGCTAAATACAAACAGTCAATAACATCTCGCTTGACTTACAAGTTGTTGTAAATGTGAAGCTAACTAAAAACCTTTGACCATAGAAGCTCATTGAAGTTGTTCACCACTGCATTTTCACTTTCTAGTATATTTATTAAGATATCTCAGTTAAAATGTGGATTGACAATAACTTAGTGAGCTTATACATTTTGTGCTTATAACTTCATACCGTATCAATGATAGATTTTGCACTTAATTCGGTTTTGTGTTTTAACTTCTATTACAGATACTTAATACAGATAAATATGACAACAATAAAAACCAACAATCATCAGCATTGGATGAACATATCAACTCATCAACAATTAATGACCCCATTATATGTGTACATACTTCTTCCAATACTTCCAGAAATAAATCAAATGATTTAAACCACTTAACTTATTTGCATCGTTTCTATTTAAAACTATTGAACGTTGTACATCTCGATACATTGAACAATACTGTAAAAGAGTTATGTTTAGGTTTGCTTGCATTACTGGCTCATTCAGAAACTGTTTTTATTAAAGAAACCAATTTATTAGACTGTATTCTATCAAAATTTTCTATATCAAGCAATAATATTTATTCTTTTCAAGCTCTTTATGAGAACAATTCTTGTAATATATTAAATGATTATCATGAGTTTTTATTAACTACATTATTACATTTTAATGATGAGAGTGGAGATGATGATATTGATGATAATAGTAATGACACACTTATTACCGGTTATACAACAACACATTATGATTATTCCTCACAATTAGGTGAACTTAGAATTTTATGCGAAAGTTTAAGACAATGTTGGACACAGATGAAACGTTTAGCCAATGAACAACGAAATATGCAATATCGTTTAAATCAAATTAATGCTTCAAATAACTGTGATACAATTTTAACAAAACTCTTTTTAGATGCATATAGAATTAATTCCATGTACAGTAAATTATTAACATTAGCTATTATTAATTCTGCTCAATATTTAATCTATTCTGGTGTATCATTATTAGGTTATATGGAATTATCACGTTTTACACATGATGAACTATGGGAAATGACACGTGGTATTGAAGAGTTAAATATTTTACGAGGGCATTTACATAATACATTTCAAATATATCGTAATACACATTTGTATAAATTAATATGTAACGACGAAAATATATTTCATTCTGCTCAAATTTTATCACCAACTACCGATACTACTAGTATTAGTAGTACTTCTAAACCATTATCACAACTTATTTCATATAACTTATTAAATGATCCTGTTGATGTTGTATTTTCGATGTCTGTTGGATGTTTATTTTCACTATTCGCTAAACAACGTTCCTTGCGTCTTGCTCATCTAATCTATTTACACATATATAAGTTTCCAAAACTGTTCTTTAGTGAACCTGATAACAATCATACTACTATAGATTATAATCATAATTTATCAAACAAAAATTTATTACAACAAGAATTTCAGGAATTCATTCAAGATAATCACGGTTTTTTAGCTTCAGACTACCTTCGAAATGAATATGAATTTATATCAAATTTCTTAGATATACTCTCTCAATCAACTGATCTATTATATCAAGTACAGAAATTACAACTTGTGTATACATCAGCTGCCGCTACAGCACAAATAAGACAAGTCGAAGCCGAACAACGATTAAAAACTTCTAGTAACACTAATAATTTGGATCCCTGTTTTGTCTCTTCTCCTACCTCCTCCCCGTCTTCATCTATATCACATGCTGTAAGTGTTGAAGGTAAACATGGTGTGTTAGTACGTGCTACCTCAACAAATCATCCAAATATGACAGAAACAAAAGAGATAATTTCTAAAACACCTCGAAAAACAGATATTCATCATAGAACTAACATTTTACCTAACTATATTTCACGTTATCAGGATGCGTTGCATCGTTCTAGCACATTAGATCGATATGTGGCTACTGGATCAGCTGTTTCACCTTATTCATCAATCAGTAATCATACACTTGGTACTGAGTTTACTAAATTACAATCGGATAATCAAACAAAACCAGACGACCATAATTACAAAAAAGACAAGGATGATTCTACCATTTATACTCCAACTGAAAGTAGTAGTATCACTGGTGATAAGGAAAAGGAACAAAGTAAATCTAGAGTTAATTCTAAAAAAGGTGTACAGTGGAGTGATCATCGTGAAGTTAGTACACGACATCAAATTATAGGTCGGTATTTGGAAATGACATGGAAGTATTCAGAGAATACACTAACAAGCTTATTCCTATCCACATCAAGCACGATTATTAAACAGAGGAACAGTAACAGTAATAATATAACTGTAAATGAACCTAAATTGTGCAAATCTACTTTAACTATGACATCAGTGGAACTTTTAAGATTGGGAAATAATATTTGTCAGTTGACAATCACATCAGGTAACTTTCAAATGATTTCGGTTAATCAATTACTTTTACTATTATTATCACTACTACTAATTTTCTGTTATTCGTAACCATATAGAACCTTGGATAAGATTTATTAGTGAACTAATATTTCATTACTATTATGTAATAATTTTTATAATTCACCTAAAATCATCCTTGTGGATTCGTTTTAACGAACACGTTCTTCTTAATGACTGACAGAAAATAGAAATTATGTGCGGTTGTTGACAGTAATATGTCCTGATAAATCACTAAATCTGAAGTAGTATCATTATAACAAATAAATCAATATTTGCTTAACTTGGTTTAATCAAAATTGACCAGATAATGAGTTCAATAATGTTGGATTTGAAACAGTTCTCTATCAAAGGCATTTAAAGATGGTTGATCAGTGTTACGAATCGATCCCAGTTAGAAATATAAGCCTTTACTTACCTAGACAGTGGTTTAGAGGTTAAGCGCTTATTGCGAGACTTGAAGATCCTGGGTTGGATTCTTGGTGAGGTTGCGAATACCCAGAGCTGAGGAGTCTTGTCCAAGGACTAAACAACTGTCTGGTAATTCCTAGTTTTCAACACTTTTCTGGCCAAGACCATTATGTGGTAAAAAATTTAACAAGATTTATTAGTCATTTTTATTTTGAGTACAGCTTCTTTTCATAACACGACACCATGTCATACGCCGATTGCTTGTCCGCTTTTTCCGACCCGTCCCAGAGTTGGCAAATAATGGACGAGGTGGAACTAGCTAAGACGACATTCGTAGGACATGTTCAAGCCACCGAGGCCAGTGTCTCAAGGTAGTGACAGCAATTGACTTGTCGTCGCTGTGCCCGAACACGCAATGACGGACCTCTGAATTACAAAAATGGCGTTGCCACTGGATGTCAGGATTCCTTCAAAGACAAAGATGATCAAACATAGAGTCGTCTAGCATCAACTTGGAGAGACCAAGTTTCACAAGCATAGAGCACAACTGCTCGCGTTGTAGATCAGACCCTTTACAGCCAGACTAACATAACGAAAGCGCCAAAGATAGCCCAGATTGGTACAAGCCACACAGAATTCAGCCGGAAAACTAGAAATGCTAAAAGGCTGTTACGGATTTGATTGAATATCAGCTGTTGTAATAAAAACATCATTTTTAGGATTAGTTAGCTAAATAAACAAAGATTTATATTTTATACATTCAGTAGTGGTTCACTTTTGCAATGCTTATTCATGTTTCGTTTCATCTAATAAATTTTAGGCATTTAGTTACTATGATTAATCTGTGACACTAAGTTTCTTCAAGTTTAGTTTGTAAACTGATACATGCCTTCTCAGTTAAATATCTAATGTTAATTATCTAAAGAATTCTTCAAATTTATCGAGAATGACATTAGTATTAAAGAGGAAATGTTATAAATGATTATTACATTCTTCAACCATTTAGTAATGAAAACGATTGTCTGTATATTCTTTCTTCATTCATTTTCATGTATCAAGTTGTGTGAAGTAGTATTGTTTTAATAATGTTGATTAATTTCTGTTCTAAGTAATGTTAATCCTACACTTAGTAACCTAATAATTACTTTTAAGTACATTAAAAAACAATAAATTCACGGTTTTATCACTTATACATTTAGACAAAATTGAAGTCATGTAACTTTTTATGACACACAAAACAATCATCACTACAACCTGTGAACAAAAATTGTTTTATTTTTTTAAATTTATCTAAGAGAACATATCTCCGAACTAAGCTTAGATACGTATTAAAAACTTTAATTCCATTGAATGTAATCTATTAAATTTTGTTAAGTTAGATAGTTTTATCGAAGTATCATATAAGTTAAAAATAAATTTCTATGCATACTGATATTCAGGCGGTTAATCACTGAAATACAGAATAGTGGGGACACTGTAGATTTGGATACCTTATTGCTTTCAAAACTATTTATTAACTTTTCATCTGTCAGTTAACTTTAATATGCAGGCTATTTTCTTTTATAATGACTTAAAATAAACTCTTTCAAGGAGCAAATATAGTTTAATATAAAGCATTTAAATTTAACATCTGAAGTTAGATATTACGTAATTAACTTTAAGTAATTAATTCTCTTGTAAGATGGTTTTATTACAGATTAATATACAAAATCTATTTAATTAGACAAGTATTTTCATGTGCTAAGGGTACAGTGGAATATTTTTGTCGTACAGATTAGATGAATTATCTGTTAACTATGAGGATGCAACAAAAAATGCGAAACAAAAGTAGACAATAACACTTTCCTGTTAACTAAAGCAAACACGGGTTTTGATATGTTTGGATTGAGTGTAAGTGTTGAATTTAGAACATTCATTTTGTCCTGTTTGTGACTCTTCGAATGGACGTATCTTTATCCTACTACTAGTAGTAGGGATCCAAAAATATTGAAATTTGCTACAGAAAGGCTATATCAAGTCAGGCAACACAAGCGACACATATACCAAAAAACAATAACCAATAAGTAGCGTTGAACATTAGTGACAGAATAAGATATATCATTCAAATTTGATCAGCGTTAATAAAGTGATAAAAATTTTCCAAGAGTCAAAACTAAACGACTTCATTGTCTCACCTTTTCAGCCTTTTCCAAATGAACTGAAGCTTTACCGGACAACATATAATTATTTAACTGAAATGGGTTTTTTTCCAAACGGTGAATTTTACTTTAATATTTCCTGCTTATATTACATGTGTTAATTCTCAGAGAAACTAGTGGTTTAATGATTCGAGACTGTATTAAGATATTGTTAATCGATTAAACATAGAGAAGAGTAACGTAGTGAATGTTTAACTTTCTTTTCCAAAAAACGTTTTTTAAAGAAAACTGTGTTTCGATTTTAAGTGATGAATCACTTACTGTAGATTGTTTATTTCCCAGAAATATTCATACGTGTCTGTATTTCTAATAGGAGTTTTTTGTTTTGTTTTTTTGTGACAGAGAGTGATATGGATGTTAGATAGACAGTTGAGTATTGGTAAAATAAGCGAATGCATATTACATTTAGTTTTAATATTCAAAGCAAACAAGGGAATAATCAAAAAGTATTTCTGATCACAGTCTACCTGAATACATCGTGTAGTTTAGAGAATGACGTAATTGAATGAAACATCAAAGAATTATGAATAAAGAAGTTTTAATTTAACGTTAAAACAGTCGAACTGTTGAAATATCTGGTTGTTTATTTACAATTGAATATGTGTGAATTAAATTATCTCGGAAACAGATTGGGTTGGTAGGATACAAAATCTTGTTGAGTTACCCATCTTGCTATATTAATACGCAACTCAGTAATTGATAGATGTAGCATATAAATTTGAATATCTTGGATACTTTTCCTAAAGATTCTTGTGATCTAGGTTCACAAGTAGGTAAAGACAGATACTTCAATGTCAATGCGTGTTGACGTATTTAGGTCCCGTTAATAATTTATTGTTCTTAATAAATGTTATTTACTATTATTGGTACATTTTCCTCAGTTGTAGCAAGTTCTTTGACTTGATGCTTTTAAACTCATATATAAATCATGAACAGTAATATAATCCCTCATTTAACCACTTGATCAACTTTGTACATTCATCAACTCTTCTATTTAATTCTAAACTGCAGTAACATAAATATGTTTAATGTAATCGACAAGTTACCTTTCTTCTCCTTTCAATAAGTATCATTTCGATTTTACAGTTACTAGGGTGTCATATTATAGGAATATTAGACTGGATAGTGATTCAACTTCTGTAAAATTTGAACTTTTGGACTGTATCAAGTGATTGAACAGTGATTATTACTTTTTCATAAATTTGCGTGATCTGAACTTAGTGACATAATCCTATATCTTTTTAATACATTTATAAGAAGTATGTTTGGGCCAAACCTCGGGATTTTTGGCAGTTTATTCTGTCGAAAATGAATTTGACTGGTTAATTTTAACGTTTGTACTGTCATTGTCTGCACATTTATTTTGATTGTCATTCACCTTGACCTAATTCTTGGTTAAAAGTTCATTTGGGATAGTAATTTCAAATTCAGAAGCTCAATTCTATCTACTAAATTTCAGAATATAAGAAAGAATCATCATTGACCGACTGTTGAATATAGAAAGTCGTGCGGAATTCAGTTAGCTATGTACAGGTTGTTTTCCTTAGGCGGATATAAAGATTACTAAAAATGATCTTAATAACTCATTCATTGTTTAAAGATTATTGTACTTTGTGATACAGTTTTTGTTTCAAAGGGACAAATAACTTATCATGGAATGGCAATAAAATTAAACGTTTATTCAAATTACATTTTATAAGACCACACAGTATTGCTTCAAGTGGTAGTCATTTGTTAACTCACATATCTTTTTTCAATAAACGTACTTATCACGTCTCCAAATTTTAGTTTTATTTGTAAATTTAATTAGTACCTGTTTACCATTGAAATCAATCAATCTGAACTGGGTTATATAGCTCATTATTACCTAGTACGACAATGTTAAAATTTACGTAAATTTTATTTTATGATAATTCACACAAGACATGATTATAATTTCAAATTTCAAGTAAATAACTGCACACTTGTACAGAATGTATGTCCAGTATGCTTTACTTTTGAAATATTTCCCTAGCTCATATCATCCTATTACGAGAATGAATTTTTATTTAATTAGTGACTAATATGCATTATTCATATCTCTGATTATAGTCTTGGATTCATGCTGATTAGTATTTAGATAACGAAAAAAGAAATATTGCTTAGTTTATTTGTTTTTTATTCATTTATTTATTTCTCTAAATTACTACTTATTTCAATCAGTAACATAAAAATATTATAATTTTAAATTGTACAAGATAAAGAGAGAAAAAAACATTAGTTAATTGATTTCAACATTAACCAAATGATTTTCATCATTAAATTAACATAATATTCATAATAATATGAAATATAGAAGAAAAATAGAAAGTAGGTTAATGAAAAT